TAGACAACCCAGTAGTCACAGAGGAGCATAGAAGAAATTGTGGTCAGCTTGATGACATTTCATTTTTACAGGGGGCACAACAAGAAAACCAAAATGTAAGGAGTTTCCCAAAACAGCTTTTAGGTGAATTGAAAAAGAGTCCCATTGCCACCAATTCCATGGCGAAACACTCTTGTGAGGAATTAACAGGGATGATAAATAGCTTGACAGCCTAGCCAGGTGGCATGGCTGGGGCATGTAAGGTTGCTGAACAGGAGACCTGGGTATCCAGAGCAAATTGGGGATGCTTGTTTCCCCAGGCTTTTGGAAGTGGAGCGTGAAGAGGAGGTGATGTGATTGATCTCTTTAGAAGAGGCTGCCAGCTGGAGTGTTCGGATAATGCTCCTCCTATTTCCCCTTAAACTCAAATAGATGGCAGTTTCTGCGAAGAGCTGCTCCTCATTTTTTGGCCATTGAGCTGTTGCAAGCACCGTTGCTCCTTACGGGAATGAGCCGCTTACTGAAAGGCTCAAGAAAGACACCTGAGATGAAATATACCTGTCCCTATGCAACAGTTATTTCTAACCCTTCTTTTTAAAAAATGGGTTTGGAGTAGGAATTCATGTTACAAAGATTAATTTTATTTTCCTAATAGCAAGTCTCTCTCTCATTCTCTCTCTCTCTCTCTTGCTGTACTTCTCAAATATGTGTTCATTTATTTTACCTATGGGATTGAAAATGATATTTTTTCGACCTCTGTTTCAGTCTAGTTAAAAGTGCTACTTTAATTTTCAAGGGGATTTGTACTCCTGGGTCTTTAATGTCTTTTGATTTTTTGTTCGGCAAGGATCGAAACCGATGTTATATTTCTAAGTGAAGGGCTCTTATGTATATTGAAACCCTTCCAGCTCCTTTCCCTAGTCTAGTGCATGGTCTTGCATTCTTCCAGCTTTAAATTTTCATCTGAACTGCTGCTGTGAATAAATGATACATTGTTCTAGCTCTGCAGTTAGAAAATGTATTGCAGCAAAAAAAAAAAAAATAATTGAATCTATTACCTGTTAGAATTATGCTAGTAATACAGTTCAAGACAGTTTGACCTCAGGCTGTTTGGGAGTGGGGCTGATTGAATGGACTCCTCACTGAATAAGTTTAGTGGGTCAGCAGACATGAGATTTGTGGGAGAGTAATAATATAAGCTTTGAGCGATCTGGGGCTCCAGCAAGCGGAACCTGATGGAATAGGACGGCTGTTGGAATTTCTAGCCAGGAGATGCCGAAGATCCTCATGCAGGACCTGGCAAAGCCCTAGAAATTTTAAGGAGCGAATGGGAAAAGTGGAAACAGCAACTCATACTACCCACTAAAATTTTGCACTACCCTTAATTCCCTCCCATCTTTATTTATTTATTTACAATATTTTACCCAGTTCTATACAAACGTCCCAGGATTGCTTACAGCATAAATAAATCATAACAATAAATAAATGCAACAAAATACAATAACAGAACAAGCATAACATAAAATTTGATAATTTAAAATATTAAAATACTGGGCAAATAAAAAGGTTTTTACCTGGTACAGAAAGGAATATAACATTGGTGCCAGGTGATCTTACTGTTACTGTGGTGAGAAGTCCCAGCTCTCGCATGTCACAGGCTGTTCAGATAAATTTGTCCAAGGAAGAGGTGGAGGGGTAGAGCTGGGCAGAGGAATTTGCAGGTTCAAGGATACTGGAGGAGGATTCTTGGATGTGGTTGAGAAGCAGCCCACCTTGGAAAAGGATGGGGTCATTGCAGAACTTGTGGGGGGGGGGGGAGGTGGATAAGATTGAAGGGGACTTTCTTGATCCTTCAGGAGACAACAGGTGAAGCAAGCAGATGAATTGCAAAGTCAGCTAAACAGGGAGCCCAGATATGGGTTATTATAATGACATATAAATTCATTAATCAACGAAAGTAAATGTTGGGTGTTCCTGCCATCTTGCCCCCAAACATCAGGAGCCACCTGAGAGTGTAGTCAGAAACTTTTCTAAAAGGAATGAAAAGGGGGGGGGGGGGTTCAGTTTGGATTAAACTCTTTACATGGGCAGGTGCTTGTCTCACACCACAAGGGAAAACAATGCTTTCATTTGTACTCTTTTATAACCTATTAAGTTTTCATAAAAGGACTGTGCTTCTAAAGTCTCATCTGAGTCTTCTGAAGGGGAAAAGAGGGAGGGAAGGACCTGATCACGACAGTTGGTAGAATAAGGTTAACAGAATGAAAGATAGTAGAATATGGTGTAGCTTTTGACTAATTATAAATCTTGCTATGTATAAAAGTAAATTGTACTGCAAATTCTGTGTCCCCTTGTGCAAGACCAGGACATGGAAACTAAGCGTGCTGGAGGCAGCATGGCATCTAGAGCAGTAATGCTAGTAATGTGTTACTGGATTGTGACACACTGCTGGACTACAACGCTCATCGGTCTGCCTAACCAGTGCTGCAGTGTGGTGGGAGCAGCTGTCCAACTACAGCTTCCTATTCCTGTTTTAGAGGCCAAGGCAGAGCCTGGAAGGATCTGGAAGCAGCACGTGGCAGGTCATCAGAGAAAGCCCACAAAGCTCTGTTTGGCGGGCTATATGTTTTCCTTGCCATTCCTATCTATTTTCTCACTCTGCGCATCCCTGGGAAGCACGAAGAGATGCTCTGGGCAGAGCAGGCCAGTTGCTCAAGCAGTGCAAGTCCTTCAGCCATGCCCATTTGTTATATTGGACAGGTGCAAAACCAAGGGCCTGATCTCGCAAATAACCCCTCTGTGGGAGTTCAGGGTGGAGTTTGTATCAATCTTCTGTGGACACAAACCCTATGAGCTTGAGGGTTAGTCACTGACTGGCAAACATGATCCAGTAAGCAAGGATTTCAACATCCATTTCCCTGACCTAAATCTAACAATATTCTAGCCACACGACACACTGGCTGTCACTGTTGTTGAATCACAAGGCTGCTGTGTCATTAACAGTACTTTTTATGTATGGTTTGCAGAATGAGATAAATGCTCTAGGTATTCTGTGTTCATTATCCTCATGATAGTTCTGTGAAATGGGTCACATGGGCTGAGGAATAGTGTCTCACTTGCTCAACTGTAGGTTGAGTGGGATGGTGGGACCTGGCAACTCCTGCACTAGCAGGGGTTGGACCTGATGACCTCCTTGGCCCCTTCTATCCCTATCAGTCTCCTAGGTGGTGGTCCAATGCTCCATCTGGGGGCCCACACTGGCTGCTGATATATACCCACCAAGTGAGTCCCAGGCTCATTTTCCTGAATTTGCAGTGAGCATGACCCTCAACAATATAGCTGTTTGAATAACAGAATAATTCTTCCAATCAAAATATTGCAGCCTACTTCCTAGTATTTCAGCATTGTGTTTATGGAGAAAAACACAGTTTATATGGTTTATCGAATTCACATTGGAGAAGAGTTTGGTTAATTTACTGTAGTAAAGAAAACAGATAAAAACAAGTATCATTTGATTAACCATTTGAAATCAAGCTAATTATCTCCTTGGCCATTATAGTAAAAAGACCAGGGCTTTTTTTGTCATAGAACACACTGGAATGGCTTTTCGGCACCATTTTTTGACGGATTTTTCCAAGTGATTGTGAATCGCCCTGTTGGGCGTAGCTGATCGGCAGCAAAAATAATTAACATAGTGCCTGTGGGCTGCTTGTGTGTCGGTGGTGATTGTGAGGGCGCTGCTCGGCTTGGGACACTGCTCAGCTTGGAATTGGTCATGTGGTCGTGCGCTGAGTGCTTACTGCCGGCTGCGACCATTGTGTAAAAGTGTGACCCCAAGACATGAGTTCCGGCACTTTTTTTTTTTTTTTAATAAAAAAAGCCTGGAAAAGACTCTCTTGATGCAGAACTTCTGTATGCACCAGTGTACTGTAATGTTTTCCAAAAACAGTTTTAAATACATAAAAGAAATTCAAGGAATGCATAGCTCGCCTGAGCAAATCTGGAACTCTGTTTCTTTGGCAAAAGCAGGCAGGGGAATGCCCCAGGGAAACAGGAAGCCTTCCAAGAGTACAACTTCTCTCAGCATTTAAGTAGCCAGCTTCTAACAGTTTCATTGTCAATAAATCAACAGGATGACAATACTTTATTTTTTCCCCCCAAAAAGCAAGAAAGCACTATGAGTAGGTCGCTTGCTATAGTTTAGTCTCCTGTTACCATGGTGCTGTTGCTACCTTGCAAGCAGACTTTCTCTAGGAGCTGATTAATCGTGTTGCTGCAGCTGCTCTGGATTTATCACCAAAAATTCTTTTGCATTTCTTGTGGCTGCCTTGACTTATCTAAGGTGCTTACTCTTTTGACTGGATGTGGAAAAGTTTCATCTCCTTGGGGGCCTGCGTTTGCCAACAGTTTTCCACTCAACAGGGTCATTCTGTGCATTAATGCCTGTGTCATGGCAGCCAATTTTGGCTGCTGTCATGCAAAATGTAATGAATGAATTGCTTTAATGAACGAAGCAGCCCTAATTATGTGATTAAAGAGGCAAAACTGCTCCAGAACACTGGTGCAGATTATGTGAGACTGTTCCATGCTGGTCTAATAAACTGAATCTGTGTGTAAACCTGATGGATTAGTCACTTTGAGTAACTAGCATGATTGCAAATGATTAGGGAAGCATATTGGCATAACTGAATTAGGGAGATGCTGCATATTCTTTGGTGCAGAATTCCATAACTTCCAGATAAGGATTTATTCAAATCTTGCAGAGTAATCCCAATGCATTTCTATCTAGCAACTTTAGCAAAGAAGAAGAGGAAGAAACTTGGGAAAGAAATGCTAGGAGTTGTGGAAGCATTTTTTAAACACAGATTGTATATGTACATAGTGCTGGGATCATGAAAAGGAAGATCATTTGTGAGTGGGGGCATTAAAGGTGATAAGTCAGGTGCTCTGGCATGGTCATATTTGCAGCCAAGGAACTTATCTTTTGACATACCTTCTTTCTTTTCCCTCTCCTGAAAAAGGTCTTATTCGATTGCAAGAGCTTATTAAGGCTCCATCGCGGTACAACCTGCGTCTAAAAATCCGCCAGTTACCAGCTGATACAAAGGACGCAAAACCCTTGCTCAAGGAGATGAAAAGGGGCAAAGAGTTCCATGTCATCTTCGACTGTAGTCATGAGATGGCGGCAGGCATCTTGAAACAGGTAACCATCTCTGCTTCTTAAATGTATCTCTCTGCACACCCCCTGCTCCATTACTAAGATATGGTAAAAATGCTACCTGATCTGCATGAACTCCAGATAGTGACACTGCATGTGTAACACAAAACCATAATACAAAGTGAGTAAACCAGTGAGAAAACTTTCATTCCTGAACTGGGTCCTGAATTTCAAACCCTAAGGCTGAGAGGGAAGCTGTAGGACATGCTGCTGAAGATATTCCAGTGAACTGGATTGCTCACTTTGTGCCTGGGTGGTTTTTGGTCATATGGTCAAATGTCCTGATTTACTTCTGCTTGTTGTTCTTCCCATCATTGCTCTACTTGAATAATTGAATTTCAAATGCAAGTTTTTAGAAGTTCATACACTGCCTATCGATATCCCTGCATGGGTGTGTTCAGACTGCTTTTACCCCACAGTTTAATCTTTTCTGTTGCATTTAGCTTCCTGCATGCTATCTGATGTCAACAACCCAACAGCACTAGTGTGCCGATATCTTAGGATGACAGATCATTTTAAATGAGGATGATGTGGGGCAGGTGTTAGGAAAAGGGAACTTGTTATGGCTAGATTTATTATTTAATTTAATTCATTAACATTATTGAATTTATGTACCACCCCAAGTGCAAATGTCCTTAGGGTGATTTGCAGTGATAAAAAGCCAATATAATAGCAACCAAAATAATGATGGCAATTAAAATATCTGAAGGAGCACCTTCTTCCCTATGTGCCTGCCCACGCCTTGAGATCTGAGCCAGAAGTCCTTCTCCGGGAGCCCTCTTTGAAGGAAATTAGGAGAGTAGCTACCCAGAGAAGGGCCTTTTCAGCAGTGGCGCCTTGACTTTGGAACATGCTTCCCAGGGAGGTTTGCCTGGCACCATTGCTTTATTCTTTTCAGCATCAGGAAAAGACCTTTTTATTTTCCCAATATTTTAACAGTTAATTGGTTTTATCTTTGATTTTATGATTAATGAATGGGTGCAGTGTGTTATGTACTGTTTGTTGTATGCGGTTTTTTTGTTTTTTGTTTTTTTGTAAGCCATCCAGAGTCTTTACTACTGGATGGCATATAAAACATTTAAATAATAAATAAACAATATATCAAAATATTTAAAACATTAAACAACAAGGAGTAAAATGCATAATTAGAGCAGCAGATTAAATGCCTACTGGAGGAAGGTTTCTTCCTGGCCACTAAACATACAGTGAAGGTGCTTGATAGTTCCCCCTGGGAAGGGCATGTCATAGAGAGGAATCTTCAGCAGGTATCCAATGATGCCTATCCTTGATGCTGGCTCTGCCGGCGGCCACTGCTTGGCTGCCTGAGGTGTGGTGATAGGACCTTCAGAGAAAACTCCTCTGGCCCCCATGAGCTATTTTCTACTCTCACACATGTGCCTTGACAGGAGATTTCCTCCTGTGAAAGCCTTGAGGTTCGTAGCCTTAGCACCTTTGGATCCCAGCCTAAAATTGGAACTAAAATTGCTGACTCCATTTGATGAATCATACACTTTAAAACATAGAGGTCCTAAATGTTTACTAAGCTGATGCTAGCTAAAATCCCAGCAATCTAACAATAAGCTAGTCCATCAGCCAAGTTGCATTATTTATTATATACCAATAGTTTGTAGGTGAACAGCAAATGTGGCTTTTAAAACTATCCATCTCAGCAAAAGGTAATGTGTATAAGGATTTGAGCAAAGTGGGGTCTTTTTTTTATAACCCCTCTCTGCATACATAGCAAAGAGCCTTTTTATGAATTATATATTTTCCATATTATTTACTATAAGAGAGGATTTCCTTAATAATCTAGATGTACAAAATAAACCTTTAGCCTACTTCTGTAGGCTTATCAAAAAATGAACACTGATGTTAAAGTACAGCCAAGGAGTTTGTTCTTTTGCATCTAAATTGTTTTTGAAAGGTTTCCTCCGTAATGCATCAATATTTAAGACAGTAGAACTAGTTAATTCAAGAATACAGTATCCACATGTTTTCCTTCTCCGACCTTAGTTCAGTTTGTTCTTCATGTAAAGTACAATGACAGTGTCATATTCTGAATCTGCGCCACATATATGCTGCAGTGGAAAACACTATGTTGAAGGGCGTGTCATAAAAAAATAGTGTATTTTTGTCCTCCTGTCCATTTTCACATGTTTTATGCAGACTGCCTTTAAGAGTCATTAGACCCCAGTCTAGACTTTCATCTTGCCTGTACCCAAGACTTTGATGCAAGGAAAGGAAAAGAAGAAGCAGGGTGATACTTTTAATTCGGGTTCCTTGGATCACATGAGGTGGGACAGATTGATATCCAGAGCTGTTCTAGGTTTGCCACCTCACATGCCCTAAAGCCTCTGATGTGGGGAGGGAGGGCAAGGACATGACTCGGACTCTTTCTTGGAGCCCTCGCCCACCTGGTGCTTCCCAGATGCTTTCAACTTGAGCCAGTGCGGTGTAGTGGTGAAGAGCATGGGACTGGGACTCAGACGATCTGGGTTCTAGTCCCCACTCGGCCATGGAGCCAACTGGGTGACTCTGGGCCAGTCACAGACTCTCAGCCCAACCTACCTCACAGGGTTGTTGTGGGGATAAGATGGAGGAGGAGAATGATGTGAGCTGCCCTGAGCCCTTTGTAGGAAAAAGGCAGGATATAAATCGGAAAATAAGTAAATAAATAAAAAACTTCAGCTCCCATGAGCTCCAGTCAGCATGGCCAGAAATTCTGAGAGTTTTGGTCTGCCGCTTCTGGAGGACACCAGCTTGGGGAAGACTGCTATGGCACATTCCCACTTTTTCATGTTAAAAGCATTGTGCAGGAGTCTTGTGAGTCCCTGTGATGTCCTTGGACTGTGCCTGGCCTATCCCACTCACACCCACACACCTTCCAGCATAAGGAGAGGTGCAAACATTACAGTTAGAACACCTCATTTCCACACAGCCAGTGTGGTATAATGGTTACGAGTGTGGGCGAAGTATCTGGGATATCCAGGTTCTAGTCCCTGCTCAGTCACAGAACTAAATGGTTGACATAGGCCCAGTCACAGACTCTCAGCCCAACCTACCTCACAGGGTTGTTGTTCGGATGAGATTGAGAGGAAGAGGAGAATGATGTACGAGCCTTGAGCTCCTTGACAGGAAAAAAGGTGGGATATGAATGGAATGGAATGGGATAATAGATAGATAGATAGATAGAATAGAGAATAGTATCCATTCTGGATTTTGAGCAAAGGGTGGCATAGCTGAGGTTTCCCTCCTTCCAGACTATATGTTGTCTATATCCTAATAATTGTGTAGCAGCCATAACAACTCCCCTTCACAACTGTTAAAACCCAGCAGATAGGATTAAAGGGATTGTCTGGGCTGTTTCCTGATTTCTTGACTATGAGTCACCAGAGCTGACAGTCATCAGCCATTATTCCTCTGTGTAGGGACATCCTATTCAGCAATTTTGGAGCTTTCCTTTTTTGAAAGTGTTTCACAGAAGCTCTGCAGGGAGAAGACACATTGTGGGCACAAGTTCAAGCAGTGCATCTTCTGGAACCCACCCACCAGGGCTGAGCAGTAATTCACTGCGAGCTTGTTTTGTTTTGTTTTAAAGGCCTTTCTCTTACTTACAGGGTTATCGTCGATTTAGCTGTATGACAGCATCATGGAGAACAAAAGAAGCCAGCTCAGAATTTGGCCACATTAGTGCAGAATCTAAGCTCCCAGCCCTGCCAATTCTCTTATGCCCCACCAATTCCATTGTGCAAGATGCTTCTGGAGCAAAATGAACTGGAAGTGCTTGCTTCACCTCATTTTGCAGAACTCCTATAAGGGAGCTCTGTCAGCCTGCCTCCTCCCAGCAGCAAGAGGTTCTGCTTGTTTGGGGGCTTCCTGAAGAAGTGCCAAGTCTCCTTTGCATGCATAGTTGCACTGGTGCAATGATCTGCAGGTCCCCACCCTTGCAGAAGGAACTCCGTGCGTCACAAAAGAAGGGGTGGGGGCACTGGATTCTACTCATAGACTTGGCCTCACTTTAAAGAAGCAATTAAGAAACATATTTATTTATTTATTTATTTATTTATTTATTTTTCGATTTATATCCTGCCTTTTTCCTACAAAGGGCTCAAGGCAACTTACATCTCCTCCTCCATCTTATCCCCACAACAACAACCCTGTGAGGTAGGTTGGGCTGAGAGTCTGTGACTGGCCCAAAGTCACCCAGTTGGCTCCATGGCTGAGCGGGGACTGGAACCCAGATCCTCTGAGTTCCAGTCTCACGCTCTTAACCACTACACTATACTGGCTCTCAGTATAAGTTGATATACTATTTAGAAAGATAGGGGGAATAACAACCATTAGTGCCTCTTGAATTACAGTTCTGACATCTGGTAAGAAGAACTGATGCAAAGAATTGTGGTTTCGGTGCTGAGAACTAGTACTATATTAGGAGGGGGAGAGTCTAAAACTAGCTGCCAGCACTTTTGAAAATGACTTTTCAATTGAATAAGACTGTGCTTTTGGAGCCACACTGCATCTTTCCAATTAGGTATCTTTTTCTGGTACGGACATATAATAAATACAATTAATGGAACTATCCTCCATTCAGATTTTTGGTTGGCAAATGAAATGCTCCCATTAATATGTAAAACTATAAGCTTCTTTCACATTTGCAGCCCTAAACAGTCTGCTAATCATCTTCTATCAGCAGATTTGGTTCATAAATTCCTTTAATAGCCAGTAATCTGCTCTAACTGCTAAGGAATGATTTGCTTGACCTAATTTTAGTATGATTCCAGCCTTATAGTTTCATTCCATTTGCATTCTTCTGGGAACTTTTCATTATTCATAAGGGTGCGATTAAAAGCAGTTATAGGTAACCTGAGAAATATTAAAAGAAATGTTATGTAACTTATAAAATGTTAATATTCCGTCTACTGGATTTTTCTGTTTTCTGTTTTTGTTCTAGGCATTAGCAATGGGGATGATGACAGAATATTATCATTACATTTTTACCACACTGGTAAGTAGCTTACAAGAGCATGCTGATGGGCTCAGACAAAGGCCCTTGCTTCTTTCATTATATTATATGACAAAATGAAAGTGGTCTCCCAGGAGCAGGAAGGCAGAAGCACTGAATGTTTTCTCCATTTGATTTTGATACATCGCAGTGGAAACTCCTGGGGATGGTTTAATTAATGCTCAGAGATACTACTTTGGAAAACTGACAGTAGGTGCAGGGAGGAGAGAGCAGAGTGCACTAGAGTTCTTGTTGAAGAAATGGGTTCTGTAGTTCTCTCATGGCTTCCTCTTTTTGGGAGGAAAGGGATTTCTGATCTTATCTCTGTGTGAGCAAATTGTCTGTAAACAATTCAACACAATTTGGAACATTGGAGGCCAAAGAGCTACTTAAAGTTCATTATAGCCTGACTGTAGGAACTAGAGGAAGAAACTTTGCAGCTATACTGAGTCAATACATCTAATATTTCGAACTCCTTCAAGAAGGCTATTCAGACTGTTTCTACCTAAGCAGCAGGAGCAGGTAAGGTAGCTCTTGCAGGCCCGCTTGCACCCACCAAAACACTCCAGTGTGCCCTCCAGGCCCCTTGTGACCTCTCTCCTACTGCTATCACTGTTGCTTCATCTGTCTCCTCCTAACCTTGCTGACTCTGGTTCCTCAACACCAGACATCCAGCAACTCCTTCCAGTCACTACCTGATCCTCCGCCTCCTCCTCCTATCCATTTGTCCATCTGTCCTCGCAGGTAGGTTGCTTAACTTCCTGAGCATTTCACTTCCTCCCACACTTCCTTGTTTCCTGCTTTGACAGCTAAGTCCTGCACCATCAGGTCTTGTGGATGGCAGTGGTGAAACATAAGAAGGAAAAACTTGCTCTGGAAAGGAGATGGAGGAAGTGAAACAAAATGAAGGAAAGAATAAGCTCTTGTCATCCTATTGTGCAAAGTAAATATCATTATGGAGTTGGGATCAGTTCAAAGCAGTGTGAGAATGACTTGCTGCTCCCACGTTCCTGGCCCATGAATGGCCATGGGTCAGAGGTGAAGCTCACAGATGCTCCATGGAAATGGACATGGCAGGTGGCTATTTTGTGTTGCTTCCCAGGACAATTTCTCATGTTGCCAGATGTGCCCAAATGCCCAGAAAGGTTCATACTGGAAAAAATACACTTTCAGTTGCTCTGAACCCAAGTAGCAGTGAGAGCCTTAAATGGCAAAGTTTATGCATTTAAGCCTTAAATACAATGTCAAAACATTTTAAGGCAGTGCAGGCAAACTTTTTGCCTGGAAGGGGTTCCAGGCGTTTGAGCTGGTGTTATGGGCACCATCACAAACTTGGCGGCTGAAGTGGTGTGGCAGGGCAAGGTTTGGCAATACAGCTCACCCACTCTCTCTCTCTCTCTCTCTCTCGTGGGCTCCTGGCAAAGAGCCTCACTGAGGGCTGTTGCAGAAGAAGCAGTTGGTTATTGGAGAACAGATACAGAATCACACACAGTCTGCGTCCCTCCATTTAATCACTCCAGCAGCAAGCAAAGGAATGGCCCTGCTGTGCTCACTCGGGGAACTCACAGAAACCCCACTTGGAATGCCTTTGCTTCTGAGGTGCTCCAAGAGGGCATTCAGATGAAGATGTTCTCGGTGGTGTACTCTCTTTGTAGAATTCCCTGCTGAGGGAGGGCCGTTTGACTGATTCCCTCCTGTATTTTATAGGTCTATCAAATCCATCATCATCTTCATCCTCCTCCTCCTCCTAATCACTGCCATCATCCAAGAGGGCATGCGTGAGTTGGGATACTATTATTGGTTTTATCTTTTCTAATGGCTTGAATTATGTTAAATTTGGTTCCTCTCAAACCTTGAGTATTTCTCCAATCCGAAATTTAGTGCATCCCAAAATTTAGGGAGGAAAAATAATTTTGAATGAAAAATGTGAAGCACCCCATGCACATTTCTCCTGATACATGCATTTCTCCTGCAAGGGATCAGCTGCACTCACTGGCACTGCGGAGGCACTGAGGCATTGCTGGGGTCCCTCCACACAGTCATACTCCCGGGCCAGCACAAGAGGCCAGGATGAAGCAACTGCAGCTTGTTCCATCAGCCAGCAAAGCAGCATCTGGAGTGAGGGAGCAGTGAAGGGAAGGAGCAAAAGTAAAAGGAAAGTGGCAGGTGAAGGAGGGGTGTGGCAGAGGGCAGGGAGAGGATGTCCAGGAGAGCCAACAGTGGAGGAAGAAGGCAGAGACAGAGAGTGAGGAAGGCAAGAAATGGGAATGGAGCAGAAAGGGCCTTGTGAAAGAAAGGCCAGAAAATATATAGTATTGATGAGACAATGGCTAACTGGGGTCAAGAATCAGGCTTAGGAGCACAAGATATCCACTTGCTGGATATCTGCTTCTCTGTGGGAAAGAAAGGCTTTCCACCCTTAACCCTAACCAGGCAGGAATGATGGAGTGAGTGAGCAGTTCGACTCTTGCCATCAACAGAAGGTGGAGGCTTGGGCAAACTTGCATTTTGGAGGTGAAGCAGCAAAGTCTGAGAAGCAGTTGGCAGCACCTGGATTTGGACGGATTCCTTCTTCAGCTTTGGCTGTGTGCAAAGATGGTTTCAGGGAGTAGATCCATTCCTTGACTTTTGGGGCTGATTCTGTTATTGTTTATGGAGAATTTTAGTTTAAATGGAATGTCGGTGAATGTGGGCATACATTGCATTACTCCTCAACAAGATTTGTCTTAAAACACTTGACTGTGGCCAAGCTAATAGAAGCCATGGATTGTGTGGGGGAAGGGTTGGTCCCTTTCCTAACATTTGCACATTTTTGCAAATAATTGTATAGAATGCACTTTAATGCTAATTTTCCTAATACATGTAGTTTTGGCATGCTTGAAAAGTGTGAAATTAGATAAGTTTACTAATTTTGTTCTTATTCCTAATATGAATTTTGATTTAGCAATGCTATGTGTGTATGTTTAATGATATTGTGTGATGATTAATTATTGCTTTTTGTATGCATCGGCAAGAAACCTCTGGAGGTTAGTCAACAGAATCACACTTCTTAGAAATAAACAAGTAGGACCCTGAGACTCCACTGTGATATTCTGAAGATCTTTGACTCTACTGATAGACTACTATCTGTGACATCAGGATGTAATTATCATTTAAAGGAAAACAGAAGCTGCCACAACTCTTCGTTCCTTTTCTCCTTTCTGGGATACCTTAAGCATAACACACTCTGTGCACATAGCAGCCCTACTGCCAGACAGCCCATCATGACACCAAAGTACCCCATTTCTTCAGGACAACCATGCAAACAAATCTTCCCTTGTTATCTGTGTTGCATTGATGTGATTGAAAATCATTTATCTGCGGCTCTCAGCAGAGCCCCTGCGTAGCACCCGTGAATTTCAGGTTTCCCATCCCCTTGCAGCCGTGTTGCTTGTGCTGTGCACAGAGCGCAAGATGTCCAGGAAGAAACACAGATCTGTGTTCCCAAGAAGCCTCTGGCTGCCTTTGTGGTTTGGGGGATGGACAGAAGGCTGTCATATGAGAAGGACTGTGCAAGTAACTGCTTCTAGGTGTTGCTGCTGTACCTGTCAGCCATGGACTTCATACATGGATGCCTTTATCACTTCTAGAAGCTCCTGCTAGGTACGCTAAGTCAGCCAGGGGCAAGGCTGAGAGGATGGCATGAAGGCATCAGGCATCTGTGACTGAAGCTAGCCTGGTCTGGGCATGCAAATGACCTCGACAGGATACTGCATGGGAACTATGAGTAACCTTCTTAGAGTTCTTCAGGGAATAAGCAAGAGTAATAAATAAATGCTTGAAATGGCAATAAAATAAAAGGTGTAAGAGTTCTGCATTTAGCAATCTGGCTTAATTAAATATTCCCATTTGCTTATTAGACCTGAGAGGGAAGGAAGTTGCTGGGAGGTGGATGTTTTCTCTGAAGAATGGAAGATAAACTTCATCTCCTGACAAGTGAGGATAATTTGGGAGATGCCAGCAGATGATAGATTTTTATGCTCAATGGAGCCATGTAACTTGTATCACTTTTGGCTCCTCTGCTTTATTAATTATGTCTTACCTGACACAGCGAAAGCCTTGTCCAATAAATTTTCCAGTCACACTATTTAGCTGTGCTGTTTGGAAGTGTACTTTCCCATGATTGATTTGGAGTCTAATGTAATAGCTCATTAAATCTGTTTGAACTGTTGTGTATATTTATTATAGTTTTGGGTAAACAGGAATGTGTTTAAGTTATATAATTAGTTATGCAATTGCCCGAGATAGTTTGGATGCATCCCAAGTTTAATGGAAAAGGCCTTTGGGGCATATTGCAAGTGATTCTGCAGATTGTGCAACAGGCCTTGGTTGTGGGGAGTTTTTGTTATCTCCTGCAGTGTCTTGCACAGTTTGCTTCCTTGCTTGTGCCATCTGGATAATTATTAAACTCCAGTAGAGACATGCTGGGCATCTTTTACTTGTTCTGCTCTTCCTGTATAACACACCAGAGTTAGGATGAACTGAGTTGATCTGTAGGTGGTAACGGTGTGTTCATATACTGGAGGTCTGATGGATTAATTTAGAGTAGAGACCACCTTTCCAGAAATGTCACCCAGGAGTATATAACGATATAAAAATGCATAAACAACATATAGCAATAAAACCACATTTAAGTTTAGCTAATATAGATTAGTGCACTATCACAGGGGCACACTAGTCCTAGTGCAAATTAGCACAAGTAGAATGGAATACTAGTTCAAGTCATCTGATTGGGCAATGAGTGGATGATGGAATGAAAGATGGCTGTCAATCAGTGAAACACAGATGGAAAGAATTTGACAAAATCCCTCTTTCCAGATGGTGACTACCTGCAATTGGATGCACAGAGATGGCGGGAGAGAGCCAGTCTGCCAGCAGTCTGGGGGTTCATTGCCACTGGGTGACCACTGTTATCATGTAGAGTCTGCTATCCTGCATTTACTCCACTCAGTCCAAATCCAGCACTCTTTTGACTTGATAGGTTCTGAATATTAACCTCATCTAAACCAAAAGTCTTCAGAGCTGGAGGCCACTGAGGGTCTTGACTTAAAAAGCTGTATAGAAAAGCAGATGCAGTTTTTGTTGTGTAGGTGCCTTTAAATTTTGATTTTTTTAAAAAAGAGAATGCTTTCTATATTTTGGCAGAATTGCATTGATTTTGTAGGGATAATTGTCCTTACTGGAGGAATCAGACTACTGAATTTCAAATGAATAGGTAGAGAGAGATTTGTACATGAATTTGGGAGTTAACGAAGTGCTTATCTACCCCGCTGCCCCCCAAAAAACAAAAAGTATAATGAAAATGATATATAGGACAGAGGTGGATTTAGTTAAGAAACCTGAACATTTCAGAGGCATAGATGTTTTATATGGAAAGAGTTTTGGGGGGAGGAACTTTTTCCTTTTTCCCATTCTATGAGTTTTTGGGCAATATGTATAAAAATGGCATATGCCACTGAGGTGACTGTATGCAAGAAACCTGCAAAATACCAGAAGGATAAGTGCATGGTCTAAGGAATTTTTTTAAAGGATAGAATTGTTTATGTCCACTGGGTACAAAGTCACATAAATGTAACAGGAAAGGGGTAGCTGAGGGAGGTGGAACATTTATTTATTCAAAACATTTTTATCTTATCCCATCTATATCTGAAAACTCTTCTCAAGATGGCTTACAAAAGCGAAACCATTAACAGTGCATTAGATAGATAACATAATTTCAGTATATTAAATATGCAGTAAAAACAATGCTGCATTGTACAATAAAAGTATTCAACCATTAAATGCTGGCTAAATGAAATGAACAAAGCTGCAGAGCCCCCACAGAAAAGGCCCTTCCCAGGTAGCCACTTTTCTCTCTCCTTCCAAAGAGGGCTCCCAGAGAAAGATCAGTGAAGCATTTAGTGATGGAGGTAAAAGGATTTGAGCCTGTGATATATTAGTTCAGCATTCTATCCACAAAACACTGCAGATTGGTGACCCCCAGAGAGCCATTCCCTGCGGACAGTTGTCAGTCACAAAACTACAATTTACCTGGTGTTTTCCATACACAAGGTCTTGTGGATAAATATATTAATATTTGGAGATATATTGTGTATTTCCCCTTCCTATCCGGATGCCAAATTTTCTTAAATATTCATATTCGGTCCAATTTGGGGGAGCCCTACTTTGATTTGGGTGTCTCCTGAATCTTTCTAAATTAGTCTAATTAAGTTTTGGATTCATCTAAATCCAAAGCAAACTTCTAGTGGATATGTAGGTTTTAATGTTCACTGAAAAGGGTTTATTAAATTAGAAAGCCATAAGTGCTGCCTAATGCAAGATTATCTAATATTAGTAAGCACCACAGGATGCAGTCCATTGACTTTACACTGCATTTCCCTAATATACCAAGTTAATGGCTTTTCCATTTTGTTATGACTCTCAGTGCATATGTAGGTAACTAGAAGTGGTATAAATTACAGTTGTTTATGTTATAAACATTCATGTGGCATGATTAACAATTAATTCAATGCTCAGCATTTGGGGCTTTTTAAGTATGACTGATTATCCTAGCTGCAGTGCTTAAATTTGTGAAGGTGGGAAAACATGCTTGAGTAGAAAAATTAAGATTCAGGAAACATCTACAAACACCTAACTTTTCCTTTCCCTTTTCCTTCAGGACCTATTTGCACTTGACGTGGAGCCCTATCGTTACAGTGGGGTTAATATGACAGGCTTCAGAATTTTGAACACTGAAAATAGCCAGGTGGCCTCCATCATTGAAAAGTGGTCCATGGAGCGACTGCAGGCACCTCCAAAACCCGATTCAGGTTTGCTGGATGGATTTATGACGGTATGAACACCAATTTACAGTTTAGTTCATGAGAAATTAACTGCAAATGTTTCAACTTCCCTTGAAGCCATCTAGAATTATTCACTTCCTTCCCACTGTTTTATTTTCCTGTCCTTACTAAGACACAGATTCTCTTGAATGTCTTATTTATGGACCATCCCTCTGTTTGTGGTACCTGAAACTTAGCTGAGCATATCCAACAGTGGTATCCAATAAATGTGATTCTGAATACATAGGGATGCCAGTGGGAACATGCAGGACTAGTTCCATCTCCTTCATGCTGTTGCATTGCCAGACAGATACTCTGGTTGGCATTTTAATTGGGATTAATCAGAAGGAGGCCACTTCTAGGCATCCAGGGCTTCCATTATGGAATGAGAACAGTGCCCAAACACTCATAGAAGGGTCTTTTTACTCCTTTCGTTTGTTTGGTGCTTACAGCTATCAATATCCGAATACGACTGAAGTGTATGGCCTGACAGCCTGTTGGGGAAGCATCACAGAGGCTACATGGAAGTTATGGGCTTAGTATGAGAGTGCTCATCCTACATTTGGGTCCCTTGCCTGGATCCTGTACTGATAATGTACAGTTTAGTTATATGGCAGTGATGGGAACAGAAAGGAGCCATATTTCATTATTATCATAATTATGTGCATTTGAATTACATAAGATGTCTAGAAGTCAGAAGGGCTGCTGAGGATTTAGGCTGCTTCCCAGACATTGGGTTTTATTTCAGGTGCACAACATGTTACCACTGTTAGCAGAAACTCAATCTAAGTTGTTATTGCTGGATGACAGGAGATATTTTACTAATTTTCTTTAGTATTTCAGACTGTGGGTTATGCATATGAATGACACATGGAATGATTAATCCCCTGCTGTGTGTGTGGTTGTAGTGAGGTGATGCCTAGTTCTTCAGTTACATCAGCCTTTC